CCTGAATAAACCCCAGGCTTGGTCTCAGCCCACAGGGAGGGAGCATGAGCTCCCCAGAGCTGGACTCGCCATGAGGCCAGAGTTGGAAAGGAGTGGTTGGTTTAACACCATGGGAATTCCAGGAAGATAGGAAGAGACAGGCATGGTAGCAGTGCAAGAAGTCTGCTTTCATGGGGAAGGAGGTGGTTTGGGAGAGGAATTAGTTGATTTGGAAACTGGTTTAGAGACTAATAGAATCTGCCAGGGGAACAGAAAGCACAGAGGGAGGGTTTGGTGCGGAGATAGGGAAAGGATTGGATGTAGGAAAGTTCCTTCCATTTACCAGCATGCTCACAGAGATGTATAAATCCCTTAAAATATTGGTATTGAAAGTGCCATTAACTGGCCATTTGGAGGCATTGTCTAATGGGTATTGGGGCCATGCCTGATTACAGAGAAAAGTGAGCTTTCGTGGCTTAAGATCAGCGTTAGGCCAAGGGGCCCAAGGTTGGCCAGGGGACATCCCATTGGGGAGTCTGAAGGAATTTGGGACGGTCCAACTCCCATAGTGAGGCTGACCTGAGGAGAGATATGGCAGGCATCACCGATACATCAGGTCCTCAGGAGAGAGAGAGTAGATGTGGAGCACCCAGAGGGAATGTCTTCACCATGGGGGGGTCCACAGTCCCTAGTGGGGAACCCAGTTCCCAGGGATGAGAGCGAGCCGAGACCTAGCGCTAGGATTTCGAGGAAATGAGAGAGATCACAGCTCTGCATGAAAGAAGGACTCACCGAGAGGACCTTGAGGGAAGCTTGGCCAGTGGTGGATGGCGGTTGGAGGCACGCTAGGGTGGAGGAACTTCCCTGTGAGCTAGTGAGGGAGTGGCGTTTTCTAGGATCAGGGGTTCTGGCAAAGCAGCTCAGATCCTGGAGGAAGGTAATGGGAGTTGAGAAAGAGAGAGAGAGGGATGGGGTGGGGGAGGCCGGGAGAGCAAGCTCAATGCTGGGAGTGCACCCTGATCCAGAAGGCCTTGAGTGTCTAAGAGAGACAGACTTGGAACATTGCCTAGCCAAGTGTCTGTCTCATGGTCAGCAATGTGGTCAAATTCAGCCTTTTTATGACCTGATGGTATAAACTGGCCAGACTACCAAGTCCTTGCGATGAGCCGTGGAAGTTTACATCGGTCAAACTGCCTTACAGGGCACTTCCCATTTGTGTAATGACCCAGCCTATTGATGCC